GTGTGTGTGTGTGTGTGTGTGTGTGTTTTGGATCTGTAAGATTGCTATCCCATCATTCTGCAGAATGGCCCATAGATCATCCAAAACCACCTTACTACACACAAACACATGCTCGCAGTTCACAGCATATCGAGTTTATCAGTGTCTACTGCTCTTGGTATTTGTGTAGGTGGGTGTGGATACAGGTTCTTGGTGTGTCCACATTGTATGTGTGAGTGAAAGCACATTTGGTAAATTGCTATGCACCATCTGCCTATTGAGTCTATTTTGGATGCTGGTATGGATAAAGGTCCACACACTGAACTCAAAGCAAAAGGTGTTCCTAGTCTGTAACTCTATTTAGTATGACCAAGTATAAGAGTGTCACAAAGCGACCTCTGGAGATCTGCTTTGGGTAGCGTGAAGGTTCATTTGTGATAAATATATAAAAAGAAAAGGATGGCTCTACTCACAACAGCACTGTCGTGCAAGGTGTAATTTATTTACAGCACCGAAGATATATACAAAAGTCCACGAGTGATGGTGTGAAGATATATACAGTGTAATCTTCAAAACCCAAATATATAAAGTGTCAAAGAAACAAACTGGAAATAAAGATGAAAAAAATATATATAAACAAAATATACACGAAGGGTATCTTCAATATACTCGCTCTGGTAGTTTGCTCACGGCACAGTTGCACGCTCGCTGTTGACTTGGTTAACAAGTCCTAAACTTGAGTCTTTTATAGGCCAGACTCCGCCCCTTCTCTGGGTGTACCATTTATTTGGTCATTAAAATCATTATTCACATCTATGTGAATCAGATTTCACATACAGTATATACAATAAACACAGGTTCCAACACAAATCCTCATAAAAACATCATGGGCCCTATTTTAACGATCTGAAACGCAAGTGTCAAAGCGCAAAACGCATGTAACTTTGTGGGCGGATCCCGGCGCTGTTGCTATTTTCCCGGTGGGATAAATGCCTCTTGCGCCTGGCGCATATCTAAAAGGGGTTGGTCTGAAGTAGCTTCATTATTCATAGGTGTGGTTTGGGCGTAACGTGAAATAAACCAATCAGAGCGTCATCTCACATTCCCTTTAAGAGCAGGTGCGCATGTTGCATGGCGGATTGCTATTATAACGGCGGATTTACAAGGCGCGCGCCAGGAGCGGTTCACAGCCAAGGAGACCGACGTTCTTGTCAGGACCGTGAAAGACAGAGAAGTGACGTTGTATGGGGATGGGAGAAACCCACCCAAATCAGCGTTGGTTAAACAGGCGTGGGAGGAAAAAAACTAAATTTTTTACATCTTCATGGACACCACAATGATTTCCCTCATGTGTTAATATTTTTCCTTGTTATAATGTATGATTTGCAAAAATAAAAACTGCTGCATCTGTGTTGATGAGAGAATCAAAGTGTATGCGCATTGCACCCGCTACATTATGGCCAAGCATGCGCGCTTAAAATAGCATTATGAACAACGCGCAACGCGCCACTGACTTTAGACTAGGTTTTTTCTGGTCAGTGGCGCAATTGTTTTATAGAACAGCAAAATAGCATGAGGGAAAGTTTGCGCCGGAACACGCCTCCTCTTTGCGCTGAACCGCCCCGGGGAGCGCAAGTGTATTTCTTAGTTAACCGACGTGTGTCTGTGGAGGGAAAAGTCCGCTTTGCGCGGGTGCAAAATAGGAATGATACATGCGTCAGTGTACAAAGTCATTTGCGCCAATTGCAAGATAGGGCCCCATAAAACACATAACAAAACACAATAACACATATGACTGACACTTTCTCCCTCATTTGTCAGCCCCTCTACAAACAACACAAATGGTTTCGTCGGACTTCTAACATAGTGCGCCGGCGCTGCGCCAACAGTGACATCATAAGCGGGAGCCACTCAATCGATCGGTTTCGCCGGCGCCACCAGCCAGTTTGATTGCACCAAAACACTTGCGACACCCGACAAACAATTACAGGATACATGACATATAAACGAGAAAAACTGCGTGTGCTGTACAATGTATGATCAGTATATAACTGCGGCAGGGAAATATAGTGTGTGAAACTGTCCATGGGCTATTGGGGCTGTGTGTGCACCCGCTCCGCCGACAACCAGTGTGGTGAGTTGAGGTGGGAAATCAGTGTGGTGAGTAAGTGTGCGTGTGGGTGCGGCATGTGTGTGTGTGTGTGCGCTGTGCCCAGCGAGAATGTCTACTTTCTCACATCACCTCCCTCTTCTCTTGGTCGCGTACTGTCCGGGTACCGCAACAGGTAGTCGGCACGGCAACCACATTCTGTCGTCCTGGTCTATACCGTAACTTAAACGTATATGGCTGGAGGCTTAGGTACCATCTCATTACTTTAGAGTTGTGGTCCTTCGTTGTCTGGATCCATGTTAGTGCTCTGTGGTCAGTCTCCAGATTAAACTCCCTCCCCAGGAGATAATATCTTAGACTTTCAAGTGACCACTTGATGGTGAGACACCCCTTCTCCACAGCCGAGTACCTGGTCTCCCTGGGCAACAGCTTCCTGCTGATGTAGACCATTGGATATTTTCCTTCCCCCATCCCCCTGGGCCAGGACAGCCCCAACTCCTGTGGCTGAGGCGTCTACCTGGACCAGGAATCTCTGGGTGAAATCAGGGTTTTGTAAGACCGGGCTGGAGCACATCTTCTCTTTGAGAGATCTGAAGGCTGCCTCACAGTCCTCGGTCCACTGAATCGGGCTCCTTGCTGCTTTCACCAGCAGGTTAGTAAGCGGTGTAGCAATGGATGCAAAGTTAGGGATGAACCTCCAATACTGGCCCACCAGGCCTATAAAGGATCACATCTCATTCTTTGTCTTAGGCCTTGGGCTCCTTTAGATAGCTTCCACTTTGTCCACTTGGGGTCTCAGTTTGCCATTGCCCAGGTGATACCCCAGGTAACTGGTCTCCTGTCTTGCCCACTCACATTTCCTGACATTGAGGGTGAGTCCTGCCTCTTGGATTTGTCTCAGGGTATCTTTCAGGTGTTCCAGATGTTCCTCCCAGGAGTTACTGAAGATCACCACGTCATCCAAGTAAGCAGCTGCCCATCCCTCACATCCCTGAAGAACTTGATCCATCAGTCTTTGAAATGTGGCAGGTGCCCTGTGTAGGCCAAAGGGAAGAACTGTAAAATGGTATAGCCACATCGGTGTTCTGAATGCTGTGTACTGTCTGGATTCATTATTGAGGGGCACCTGCCAGTACCCCTTGCACAGGTCCAGGGTGGTAATGTATCGGGCCTGTCCGATTCTCTTCAGCAAGTCATCTATTCGCGGTATGGGGTAAGCATCGAAACGGGACTGCATTTAGCTTGCGGAAGTCTATGCAGACACGTAGCATTCCATCTTTCTGCTCCAGACTGCTCCACTCGCTCCTTGATGGCTTAATCACTCCCATTTCGAGGATAGTCTTTACTTCCTCCTTCAAGGAATCCACTAGCCTTTCCGGCACTCTGTATGGTCGCTGTCTTGAAGGCGTTGGGTCAGTGAGGTGGATTGTGTGGTGAATTAGCTCTGTTCTCCCCGGCTGCTGGCGGAACAAAGCAGGGATCCGTTCCAGAAGGCGTAGCAGCTGAACCCTGTTGGGGTCCTTCAGGTGCTCCAGGTTCACCTCAGCTGGTTCTCTCTATGCCTTTGCTTCGAATTCTGGTTCCTCATCAGTCCCCTCCGTCACTTCCCTCACCATCATCGCTGTCCCTTGCATTACAGGTGGCTTTTTCCATTCTTTGAGCAGGTTGATGTGATATGTCTGCTTGGCTTTACCCTTATCTGAATGGTGGATCTCGTAGGTCACCGGTCCCATCTTCCTCACTACGGTGTACAGCCCTTGCCATTTAGCCAGCAGCTTGTTGGTCGATGTTGGCAGTAGTAGTAGTACCTTCTGCCCCGGCTGTAGCTGTCTCTCTTTCTTGCATTATGGTCGTACCACGTTTTCTGAGCTATCTGTGCTTCTTTCAGGTTCTCTCTTGCCTGATCTTGATAACGTTCAAGCCGATCCCTCATCTCCAGCACATACTGAACGATACCCTTCTCGTCTCTGCAAGCAGGATGCTCCCAGCTCTTCCGTATCAGGTCCAGGGGTCCTTGAACTTGCCAGCCAGATAGGAGCTCAAAAGGGGAGAAACCGGTTGAAACTTGAGGTACTTCTCGGTAAGCAAACAGCAGGAATGGGAGCCATTTGTCCAAGTCCCGTCCCGTGTCTGACACAAACTTCCGCAGCATATTCTTCAGTGTCTGGTTGAATCTCTCCACCAAGCCGTCTGTCTGTGGATGGTATGCGCTGGTTCTGATGGCTGTGATACTCAACTGGCTGTGAAGCTACCCCATTAGCCGCGATGTGAACCTTGATTGTACCTTGATCTGTTAGAATCTCCTCAGGGATTCCCACCCTGGAGTACAGCTGCACAAGGGCTTGGATGATCTTTGGGGTGGTAATGGAACGGAGTGCGAAGGCTTCAGGGTATCTGGTCGCGTAGTCACATATCACCAGGATGTACAGGTGTCCCGCACAGCTCCTCTCAATTGGTCCCACAATATCGATGGCGATGCGCGTGAAGGGAGTAGAGAAAACAAGGAGAGGGTACAAGGGCCCCGCTGGGACACAGCACTGGTTTTCTGACATGTTGCACATGTTGCAGAATATCTGTACATCAGTGTAAAGTGAAGGCCAATGAAAACGTGAACTGATGCGAGTGTATGTTTTCTGCTGTCCTAAATGACCAGCCCATTGAACGGTGTGTGCGAGGTGCAAGACAAGGGGTCTACAACATTTAGAGACAATTAAACGAGTAACATCATTGGCTTGCAAGTAAATCACATCATTCACAATCACATACTTTTCATCACACAGATTTGACACTTTTCCACTAGCAGTTTTTTTAAACAATGACTTCAATGACTTGTCTTTCCTTTGTAATTCCCCAATTTTCTCTGGGATTCAAGGCCGTCCAGTGAGGTCTCAGGGACTGGAGTACCCAGATACTACTCAAACCGACGTTGTCGGCGTGGTTTTCTTGGGCCCTTGGCCCCGCCCTGCAGCAGACTACTGTGCAAGTCTGGCAGTGGCTGCAGACCTGCTCTCGTTTGAGCCCGGGTAACAGGTCTGAGACAAACAAATTTCATAAAATCCAAAGAACTAAAACTCAGAATGACCTTAGTTCACTCAAGCCCCCCTCAGTTATGACTGAAGTATTGTATTTAGCCAATCGGAGCAATTCTCTGGACATCATCCCTTCAGGTTCCAATACACTTTTGTTCAGCTACTATTTACACCACTAATGGCTGTACAAGTAAATCCAATAAATAAATAAAAATTGGGCCAAGCCAATGGCAAAATATTTTGTGGTCTTTTAATGGTCTTAACCATTTTAATCACAAATCAATGGTCTGGAAATTAGCAAGAACTGGACAAACACTGTAGATAAAGTAACTTAGCACGGAATTGCAAACCGCTATTTACAGGAAGATGAGTCAGTGTTAAAGTTAATGGCTTTAAACCCATAGTAGTAGTTGAAAACAGGCCAAAACATGAGCCTCATGGACTTGTTCTCAAGCCACTTCTTGGTTGTCTTTGGAATTTGGCAGGAGCATTGTCTTATTTTTTATTGTTTTGAAAAATAACATCTGATCATTCCTCTTTAGATAATAACTTTTCATTTGTTGGAAGCAAGCCATTCTGTAATATTCTCCTGTACTCCAAAGCATTAAATTACTTTTCACCTTGAAGTATCTCACCAATACCAGCAGTTAAAAAGGTTCCCCACACAATGACACCACCGCTCTGGAGCATCACCATGCAACTCTTGTTTCATTGTGATTCATCACTCCACACACAACTTCCCATATTCTGCCAAAAACTTAATTCTGTCTTTGATGGTTTTCTGAGTCAGCAATGGCTTTTTAAGTAGTAGCACACTTGGCCCTTTTTTTTTTTTTTTTTTTGCCCAGGAGTGTACCGTATGTGTATGTGTGTGTGAAAGACTTGTTTGACTGAATATTTTGACTGAATTTAGACAGACCAAATTTTTTTGTCTTGTCTCCAGTTTCATCTGGGTTTTGCCCCAGTTACTTTTCACTACAGCTTACTGTCTCTCTCTCTCTCTCTTTCTGAATGTAGTAAAAGTGGTTGTTATCTGATTTGTACCGTTACTGAGGATCAACTTTCAATACCACAGAGAAAGTCTATAATTATCTTTCTGTGTGAAAATCTGGTATGTACTCCCAACTGTTGAGGTAAATGTTTGGATTTTAAAACGGAACCAGACTAAAAAAGGCTGATGTACCTGAATGTGTGTTCATAAAAGGTGACCTACAAAGGTCATTTACACTACTTATCAGTGTTCAACTTAGAACTGGCTCTGTTGACTTTCAGTTACATAAGCAACAGCGACAAGTATGGCATTGAAAAGTTTAACTTGCTGAATTAAGTCGCTCCATGTTTGAACCGGCATTTGGAGTAAAGATGGAGGTCCCGTTATTCATCTGCTGTCAGCTACTGTTGTTGTGTGTCAGAAAGATGCAGTGCAGTGAGTAATTTCCTGAGTAATTTCCTTAAATATACAGTTTTGATTTTCCAGACCAGTTATATATTTTCCAGTGGATGGGAACTAAGCGACTGTCAAAAATGACCTGTTACTTGTGGCTTCTTGGGACAAAAAATTCAGATTTTTATGTAAAAGATGTCGTGCCTGGTTAGATGGTGTAAGAGTTACCATTCTAGGTCAGGACTAGTAAATGTCATTGTGTTACTTTCGTTGAAGAAGTCAGCCCGTATATTTACGTGTAATGTTTAAAACCAGCTGCTGTAATTCATCTTAATTCTTGGCTTAAGATTTGAAAAAGCTACATTTTCTAAGTAAAAAAATAGAGTAATTTGGAGCACTGGTAAAACTCTCTCTTTGTTCCATTAATTTTTACACAAGTTTTTGAGACCATCATTTTTACTAAAGGTTAAATCCATGTAAACGTTTCCAAAACAGGAACTGTTTCCTCCTCAGATCACTTTTATGCTATCAGATCAGATCAGCCGTTACAGATTTATGGTTATGATTTCAGATCGGGCATCTTTATCAGCAGCACAGATTAGAAAGATTTTCATCTAGCATGTCCTACAGGGCTGCATTTTTTTCACCAGGAACTCCCTGGGTGTCAGAGTCAGCTGCTCTCTTACCCGTTTTTCCATACCTCTATCCATCTATCTTCTCATACATCAATCAGAGTTATCCCCAAGGTATGTGTAAAGACCTATCGCAAAAGGTCGGGTTATGCAAACACACTTTTACACACACACACACACACACACACACACACACACACACACACACACACACACACACACACACACACACACACACACTTTGTTCTACTTTCTGATATTAGTCATTATCAAATATGAAGGAAATAATACCATTAAATTGTTTACATAGTTTTCTAAAACACTCACCTATATCACCTAGATTGACACTAGTGTGTGTTTGTGTGTGAAGCATGTGCTCGCATATACACAGTGCGCGGGTCAAAACGTGTTCCTTAGGCTTTAGGTCATTAGGTTGCTCAAGGTGTGGTTAACCCTGAGCTGAGAAGGTTGCAAGAAACAATAAAAGGAGCTGTGTATAGTTACGCCATAAGTTACGTTTACATGGACACTTTGTTTCAATCGGAATGAAATAATTTCGATTGATTAATCTGAACATAGTGTTTACATGAACACTAAATAAAGTGATCATGTCATCAGATTTTATCTTTTTGACATCCGACAGTGGCTCAGTGGTTCATGTTGGTTGTCTACAAACTGGAAGGTTGGTGGTTCAATCCTCGGTTCCACCTGACCAAGTGTCGAGGTGTCCATGAGCAAGACACCTAACCCCAGCTGCTCCCGACGAGCTGGATGGCGCCTTGCATGGCTCCCGTCGCCCGTCGGTGTATGACAGTGAATGGGTGAATGTGAGGCAAATTGTAAAGCGCTTTGGTGGCCATTGGGTCTGTGAAAGCGCTATATAAATGCAGTCCATTTACCATTTAATATTTATCTATTTTGGGTCCTGATTAGGAGACGGTGAGCACATGAAGCTTTGTGCTGTGCTGCTTATATTTATCAAGCAGTAAAAACGCCCCGTCCCGCGTCTAAAACAAGCAGGTGAAGCAAGGACTGCTGGGACGACATTGTCCTGCAGAAGTTGAATGAGAATTTTAGAATCATAAAATTTGTGGTTGTTTGTTGGAAATTTGTTTGCAAGAAAAATGTCTTTACCCTAACTTTGGAATGTGCGTGTTTGTGTGAAAGTGGAAAAAGATTGTCCACTGAATGTGCCTGATATGTAGAACACACACACACACACACACGCACGCACACACACTGATTTATATCTCAGAGAGGTACTGCAGGTCCTGTGGGTCCAGATACAGCCTGCACATGTCTACCTGCAAGTGTAGGGTAGACATGTGTGTCTCTCTCTCTCTCTCTCTCTCTCTCTCTCTCTCTCTCTCTCTCTCTCTCTCTCTCTCTCTCTCTCTCTCTCTCTCTCTCTCTCTCTCTCTCTCTCTCTCTCTCTCTCTCTCTCTCTCTCTCTCTCTCTCTCTCCTCTCTCTCTCTCTCTCTCTCTCTCTCTCTCTCTCTCTCTCTCTCTCTCTCTCTCTCTCTCTCTCTCTCTCTCTCTCTCTCTCTCTCTCTCTCTCTCTCTCTCTCTCTCTCTCTCTCTCCTCTCTCCTCTCTCTCTCTCTCTCTCTCTCTCTCTCTCTCATTCATACAAACAAACACACACCCACACACACACACTTATTGTTCCACATTATAGCCACATTATATCATTTTTGCTCTCTTGCTCTCTTTGTCACAATGAAGTGTGTAATTTGTTTCACTTTCTCCTATCACATCTTAATATGTAGACATAAGCAACTATAAGTAATCCATTTTTTACCCCTGTATTATGTCAAGAATTTTTTTGTTGCATCCCTGACCTAGCAACATTGGCCTAACTAGTGGCATAAGTTTTGGGGCAGGAATGTCTGATTAATCAGGGTGAATTTCAGGGGGAAAAAAACATTCACTGTACAAATTTTTTGGGGAATTTCTTTTGATGATGCAGATATTACACACTTTACCTTTAAAGAAAAATAGTTCACCTGAAATGAAAACTTAAATGTATTTCTGTTGCTCACATATGGCCATCGTATGGCTTTAGAGTATGGTAGCAAAAAAGTCTTGACATTTTTTATATATATATATAATTTGAGAATTTTTTATGATGCTTTTTTAAAGTTTGACATCACATCCAAACTCTATACTTCATTTCACTATTTGGCAGGGATTATCGTCAAAAATTCACTTTTTTTGTGCTTCACAGAATAAAAGAAAGTCATAAATTTGGAATGGTATCAGTAAAGACCGAATATTCATTTTGGGGTGGATTATCCTTTTAAGCAAAAGAGAAAAAAAATCAACATCAAACAGATGTGCACAACACACACATGCAAGCTTTGTTTTGAGGTTGTTCCTGGAAAAATCAGGTCAAGTGAACAGATCGGCATCAATTTTACAAGCCCCTCCTTTTCTTTTCTATTTTCTGTTCACTATTTATGGAATTTAGATTTGGCCTCTCAGTGATACTCAAGGAAAAATAAGTAACACACAAGCACACACACCAGAAATATTGTTTGCAGGATATGCAACAGGTACTGACCATAATGCAGATGGAGCTATTAGTACAGCAGGTGTGAACCCTGCTGACAAAGACCACCTTTAGATTCACACGCATGAGTACACATACAAACAAATACATCAATAAGCAACATAAACACAACCACACACAGACTTTGAATTTTGCATTTGCCATCGGCCCTGTGAGTGTAAACACCGAGAGAGGGACAAGACCAAACAATAGCTTACCATGCGCACACACTTGGATACGTATGCACATGGTACATGCCAAGGGTAAATCACATGAGTTATGAGGAAACCGATGTCAGGGTGAATTTAGAAATTAATTTAAAAGATCTGTTCACATTAAAAGTGACACTGAGAGAGGGAGAGATGGAAACAGAAAGAAAAGAGGAACCAAAATATCATTGAAATGTATACACCCTAGCAACTTCATAACCACTCGG